TCGATCCCTCTACCGGGAGGGGACGCGACGCCCGGAGAATGGAGGCGGACGCTTGGGTGGCTCGCGGGCTGCAGGCTGAAGTTGGGGGGGTTGTACCCAGGGGCCCCGGGGCTCGGGGGAGAGGGAGGCCGATCTGTGAAACCATCTGAAACTGGGCAAGACTTACATGCAAATCCCTGCCACCCCCACGCCGGGAGGCCCGACGGACGGGGACGCCACCCCGAGGACCGAGGGGAGAGAGGACCGGGTACCCCGAGGCCGGAGACGGTGCCGGCGGCGGAGGCGGCGCGTGAGCGGTGACGGGAAAGGCGGCTGCAGAGGCGGCGGGAGGAGGCGAGTGCGGGGAGAGCTGCGGTGCGGGCACTTCAGTCTCCGCGGGACCGAGAGGACCGAACCTGAGAGCGGGAGACATCTGAAATTGCGGACTCAGGGACTGGACTCCGCCAAGAGCAGACATCGGCGAATAGAAGACTACGTGGGCCTGGGTCCCACATAGGAGGAGGCTGACTGTGTCGGAAATATTGTTACAACACAGCCCATCAAGACCAGCGATGTGTTATTTGAGTCCATTTGGGAGCCGAAATACTCCTGTCAAGCAAGAACCCCGATAAAGAGCAGTAGAATGAAATGCAGTTTTTCTCACAATTAGAATTGGGTAGGAGCATAAGACATCCGAGCCCTCCAGCAGGTTACCAGTGGATTTTGAATGTAGAGAGATGGATTTTTTCCCCCTCTTTTCCTCCTGGTGATTTTTGTCCAAATAATATTCATTTGTCAATTATATCACTATCCATCCATTACTTTCAAATAAGTTACAAAACATTGAGCCTGGATGAATGGATTTCAGATTTGTAAAAAATGTATTCTCCAAGAAGGTATCAAACAAAAATTTAAGCAATAAAACATCCATATTGAACAAATTCATATATTTTTAAACACATTCACCTGAAAATCACTAACAAAAATAAAAAGGTAAAAAGTTGTCTTAAAATGAGAGAGAAGAGCAGTTTTGCCCTGAATTCTTAACTAAGGAATGTTATTGAAATGGGCTTAGGGCTGCTTTCCAAATATCCAAGACTAATAATAATAATAATAATAATAATGATAAATAAAGCATGGGAGCTCTTTAATATTCATTGTTTTGTAATAGGAAATATATCACTTGGTCAGAAAATTCTGCCACCTGGGTCTTTATATAAAGGACACTGAGCAACGTAGTGGACAGTTTCATCAATGGCAACTTAAAAAATGCCAGAGGCATAATGTCATAATTCTGTCAACTTACAAAACATATTCTACACCTGGCTATTACACTGCTTTACAGAAAAATGCCAGAGGCATAATGTCATAATTCTATCAAGGTAATTCTACAGTACAGATAAGGATCAGGCATGCATAGTTCAGTGAACTGACTTGACACCAGGATTAGAGTCTGGAAAATCCTGAAGCATAGAGGAGATCATTCCTCTTGAGTAACAATTGTTTCCTAGAGGCTTTTGAGACAGATGCCTGTTAAAAAGAGTTACAGAGGTTTACTAGATACCCAGTGAGACCCTTATACTAAAGCCTCCTGAAAAGGCAGAAGAGTCACAATGTATTTACAAGATTGTTTTCCTGCTTCCTGGACTTGTTACCTTCAGACAGGCCATAATTCATTCAGTAAAAGGTCATTTCTTTCAAAGTACTAATCTTCAAGGCTGTGTTAGCCAGAAAAAAAAAGAGACCCAGTTTAGCTGCAGAACAGTTGCTAGGAGTAAACAAATTGTCACCATTGTCTCCATATGCCATCACTCAGGCCTTTTGGATGGGAGCCTTTTGAATACAAACCTAATAAACATGTAAAGAACATTCTTGAAAATGGAGGAGAAAGCATATGCAAGAAGAATGTAGTGTGTAAAGGAAGGGAGTTCTTATTACACTGAAAATAGAGGAAGAATGAACTGGCATTCAGAGCAGGAAGAAGTAGGAAGGAAGAGGGAACAGAAGCGAGCTGCTTTAAGGAAGAATTAAGAAAGATATGTAATGACTGAAATGGAAATTTTAGAACTGGACCTACTTCCTACCATTAGGGAAGACTACTCCCCCCAAATACCTGTGTGTGGAAGAATATAACCCTGGTATTTCTCTCAGCCCTGAGAGCAGCAGTTCTTGAGGAGTTGATTTGACAGTGTCTGGAGAAAATTTTTGGTTGTCTTACTGAGTACCTCGAGGTGTTAGTGTCATCAAGAGGGTAGAGCCAGCGATGCTGCTCAATAGCCTACACACGTGCTGAGCTTGAGAAACTGCCTTAGTGACTAGTGTCCTATTTTTTCTAGCTCATAAGGTTTTCTGAGTTCTGTGTTATCACAATTTCTGGATATCAGGCCCAAGCACTTGATATTTGTTGATATTTTAGGCGATTTTGATGCTACATACATGACTGAGAAAGACAGGTTTCGAGGGTAAATAGAGACCTACTTTTTCATTTTAACAAAATAATCAGTAAGGCACAGATTGCTTTGAGTTGTTTCAAAGGAGTCAAATAGTGTGCTGATTCCCAATAATTTGTAAACTAACACTTCTATTCCACTGTATTATTTCAAATTTTGAACTGCTTAAGTTTTAGCACTTGTTGAATTATTTTTATAATAAATAATAATATTAAATCATTAAATTGTTACTAAGTAATTTACTCTTGATAGCTATTTGCTCTTAAAAATCATTTTGATATCATTTGGATTATAGTGGATTTTGTTTTCATGACTCCTAATACAGGTCTGTGGACAGAGATTGTTATCGAATTAAGGCAGTGGTTCTCACATAGCATCATCAGAATCACCTGAAAAGCTTAATAAACGAGACTGCTGGGCACCAGCCCGAGTTTCTGATTCTATAGGTCTGGGGAGGGACCCAGGTATTTGCATTTCTAACAAATTCTCAGGTGATGCTGCTGCTGCTGATATGGGGACCCACTGAACTAAATTTTGAGACCCACTGAACTACAGTGAAATTTCTTGAGCTTGTGAAAGGACCATGCTTCCAATTTTTTTGTGTGTGCCTTTCAGAAATTATTTTAACATTATACCTTTATTCTTAAAGAGTGTGGTTTTTCACCAAAATTACAGAGTACTTACACTTTAAATGATTTTGGTAATGGATATTAATAATAAAATACTGAGGTTAAATAGAATGCCGAAATTGAGCCATGTAAATAGCAAATGTACATTTAAAATTTTTAATTATAATAGTCCAATTATTAGTTAAACAAATGGGTACTTAAATATTTTTATCAGGGGATGAGATCCTGCCTTTGTTGAAATAGAAAAGAGCCTTTCTGAATGAACTAAAATGATACCATTTTAACTTTATCACTTCTCCCAGTTTTTCTTAGGCAGATTTCTTGAGTCCTAGTTTGGTAATGTTTCTAACATAATTTCAAAAATCAAAACTTGACTCTGGCCCAGCCAACGAGGCTCACTGTCAACCTATGAACCAGGAAATCACAGTTCGATTCTGGTCAGGACACATGCCTGGGTTGCAGGCTTGATCCTCAGTGAGGGGCATGTAGCGGGCAGCCAATCAGTGATTCTCTCTCATCATTGATGTTTCTATCTCTCTCCCTCTCCCTTCCTCTCTGAAATCAACAACATATTTAAAAAAAAAAAACTTGACTCTATTCCACACCCAGTAGGGCATTGAAAACTATGGCATTGTTGCTGTCTTCTATGTAGTTGTCAAAGTAGAATCATTGGCAGTTCATCTGCCCTCCTAGTAGAGCAAGAGAAAATGAACCCAGAAAACAAAGAGAAGGGTAATGAGATGCATTCATCAGTGATTCCTGCAGCTTGCCATATAACCTGTTCAGAGGGCAGAGGAAAGGCAACACACTTCTTATAACTCTTCTTTCTAATGAGATCCATGGAGCACTTTTATTGCTTCAGCTATCCCTGCATTTGGTAAGGGAAGATAATGATGGTTTATTTTGCAAGAGAAAAATTACTGCTTCCTGCTGCTTCCTCAGCAGAGCTACAGTCAGGCAGAGATCCTGCTTTTCTCCTTTCCTGGAGAAAAACCTCTTAAATTAGATGTTGCTTAGATTTGGTCCCACTTGAAACTGGGTAGAATTCCTGTTCTGTAAGAAGTTTATGTTCTTTAACCTCTGTGAATGTTTACTGTTAATGAAGAGAATCTACATATTTTGCTGTTTGTTTTTATGTTCTAGGAGAAGACCGATGTGGAAGGAACCTTATTTGTTTACACAAGGTAAGAGTACTTTTAGAAAGGAAATGACAGCCATTCTTTAATTGTAGTTTTATTTCAAAGACAAGTAAAAGAACTGAACCATAGTTTGAAGTTTTTAGTTGACACAAGGGAATACTAAATAATGTCACCTGGGATAGTGTGACATTATTTCAGAATAAAATTTTAGAATATAATTTAAATTTTTAGTATAGATGAACTTAAATCTTTATGTTTTCTAACAGTAGTATTAAATGTTTATTCTTTAGTTCAAACAAATGGTACAAAGTTCTCGAATATAATGCATTAGCAAACAAAAGTACACTATTAAGAATATTAGATTGTTTAATCAATATTTAGAACGGGTCCAGATATTTATCTTTTAAATTTTTATTTTTTAATTACAGTTTACATTCATTGTTATTTTGTATTAGTTTCAGATGTTCAGCATAGTGGTTAGATAATCATATACTTTGCAAAGTGTTCCAATATTTCTAGTACCCAACAGGCACCATACATTGTTGTTACAGTATTATTGACTATATTCCCTATGCTGTTCTTTATACCCCTATGACTATTTTGTAACTACCAATTTGTACTTATTAATCCCTTCACCTTTTTAACCCAGTCCCCCAACCTCCCTCCCTTCTGGCAACCATCTGTCAGTTCTCTGTATCTATGAGTCTGTTCCTATTTTGTTTGTTCATTTATATTGTTCTTTAGATTCCACATATAAGTGAAATTATATGGTATTTGTCTAAATATTCCACACCCAATAGGGTTTTATTGATGTCTCCCCTACCACCCTTGACTATTTAGAGAAGCATGATCCAAAACTAAAGATGTCTGAGTTCTCCATTATTTAGTTAATAGAATATGTTTCAGGATAGATTTAATACACTCTTTATTTTGATTGTGAATAAATTTAATGAGTTCATGTTATTAATAATTTATATCAAATATTGACAGTGGAAGGGAGGGGAGTAAAGAGAGAGAGAGAAACATTGATGTGAGAGAGACACATCCTTGCCTCCTGCACTCGCCCAACTGGGGTGGGGATCAAACCTGCAACCAAGGTATGAACCCTTGACCAGGAATTGAGCCTGCTACCCTTTGGTGCTCAGGCTGACACTCTAACCACTGAGCACACCAGTCAGGACTATATTTTGTCTCAATAGCTGAACCTTTAATTCATATAAAGTGTCATAAAGCCCATCACCATCAATGAGGGTGCAAAGGTAAATACAAAGGCCTACTACTAATTCTGTCAGGGCTAACAGTTTCATTGGGGACACAGAAAATATACACATACAAGTATATATTTTTTACACATGCACTCACATTTAAAGATAAACAATAATGTAGCTAGATTACCCTAAGTGCCAGTTGATAGGTTATAAGCAATGAATGGGCTGCTCAGGTTGTAGAAGGCTTTATAGAGTGGTGAGTCCTGAGTCAGCCTCACAAATAAAGATAGAACTTAACTTGTTTAGAGGAGAGAGGGAAGGGCAGTCTCAACAGCAAGAATGGCATAAGCAGAGGCATGAAACCTATAGTGATAAAGGGACAGTAAGGAAAATGACTCTGGTGCAGAGTTTACATTGGCTTATATTAGTTAGAAGTTAACAGTAAGGGTAAAGCAATTTTGCTGGCTTGGAATTTCAGACTAAGGATTTTGAAATTTATTTTCTTAGCAGTATGGAGCCATTGAAGGTTTATAAACAGAGGAGTAATAGAATTACAACCAAATGTGCGAGGAAAGTCAGTGTGTCAGCATTATGTGGATGCATTGGTTCTAGAATAAACTGGAGCAGGACATTGAGAAGATACTTGCGGTGGAGATGAGATGATGAGAGTGTGGACCAGAGGGATGGAAGTTGAAATGGAAAGGATTTATTGAAATAATGCATGTATAGAGGGAATGGTGACATTTAAAAAATAACATTAAGATTTTGGAATGGAAGACTGAGAGAATGACAATTATTGGTAGAATGGAAAAATAGATCAAGAATCTGGTTTGAGGAAAAAATTTAATTTTCTTTTGAAATAATGATTTTGAAGTGATAGCAGGGCATTCAGATAGAGATGTCCAGCCACTCAAGTGGGATCAGGGCTGGAATACAGAGTTTGGAGTCATCTGCATTAATTTGGTCACTAAAACTATGAGAGAAAATAGGTTCTTTGAGGGAGAAAGTGGAAACTGAGGAAAACTAATGGTTGGTTTTAGAGCCAGCAAGATACAGAGAAGAGTCAGCCATAAAGGTAAAAGCAGAGTTAGAACAATACAAAGAGGCCAGTTGTGGGCATAGCCAGGAACAGTGTGAGTCTGTGAGTAGGTGGAAGCAGAAGTGGGAGTGGGAAGAAAGGCCTGGATGGCCAAGGCCATCAGAACAGGTAAGGAGGAGGTTAGTTTATTCAGTTTCAGAAAAACGGTGGGAGTGCTCAAGAGCCGTTGGCTATATAGTTTACATTGTGTTCCAAAACATTCCAAAAGCATGGGAGCACACCACCAAGTGAGCTTGTTCAGGAAAGACTACTCTTGAGAATTCTGAAGAATGAAAAGAAAAGCAAGTGGTTGAACTTTACTGTGCCAAGCACACAATATGCATTCTCATTCATTTCTGAAAATATTTTACTTCTGAAAAGAAGTAAAAGAAAATATATTAATATGCATTAATGGTTTTATTTTGGGAATTTTTAGTAGGGTTATTTTTTTTAGTGTACCCAAACCAAATGTAGGGTTGTTATTATAAGCACTTCTTAATTTACTTTGAGTTCTTAGTGGATCTGTCAGTTAAAGAAAATATTAAATTGAGAAACAAATCCTTCCTTATATCTTTATATCTTAATCTCTTCCTCAAATATAACTCCTCATTAACAGGAGTCCCTTTTCCCTGCCGTCTCCCCCAAAATCCCCCCAGCACCCAATGCCAGACTCTGGGATGCTGAGGTCTTTCCTCTGCAGAGGATGACAGGAAGCTTGTAAAGATCAAAAGGGAGTTTTGGGTACAGGTGATGGAGCTGCCAGTGATATCTTTTGCTCTGTATCCATACTGAGAGGTTAATGAAATCCTTGAAGAGTCAAATCTGTTTATGTGTAAAAATACCTAATCCTATTTAAAATTTTGTTTGTCTTCTTTTTCTCTCATGTCTTCTTTTTTTAATAGAGTTCACAGAGAACCACTGGTGATTTCTGAACTTAACACTTCTAAAAGACTCTGTCAGAGATCTTTGGAAGTCAATTTTCATTCTTCCTCAGAATTTAAGTTGAAATGATTATCATGATTATGTCTGGTTTTGATTATATGCCTAATACCACTTTACCTCTCTGTAAAATGAATTAGACAAGGATTGGCTTCCATCAATTTTAAAATTGGAGGGCTCAAAAGGAAATGCTATAAGTGGTAATGTAGCTGTATTTTACTTCTTTATCAGTATTAATCAGATATTAAGTTTATATCAAACTAAGACATAAATACCTTGTTGCTCATAACACTTCTGTGGGTTTGTTACCCTGGTGCCCTAGTTTAAAGTAAATAAATAAATTCTGCTTTCACTTTCAGTTTGTAAGCATGTGGGGTTTCATTTGTCACAGAAGCTGCGTAGTTGAATTGCTATATGGCTGTCACCCAAGGGTAGATAAATGCAAATGTAGTTATTAGATTTTATACTCTGTATAATTTGGGTTTTTTCTGCCTGGCAGAGAGTAGGCACTAAAGGTTTATTAAATAAAAATAAAAAGTCACTAGCAGCCACATTTTTATGGAGAAAAACTTTATAATAGTTTATCTGTAAAGCTATTTGCTTTAAAGAAAAGATCGCTTTGTACATTAAATTATATAAACTTTTAATTATACTGTATTTCCTCACCAGTTTATTGACCAGAGTTGCATCATTTCTTTAAAAAGTTTCACAGCTTTTAATTTCAGACCAACACTAAGATTTTCTGTGAAAATTTTCTTTATGTAATTGTGACATACACTCTATATTAACTATCATGTAATTACCATCTCCTCCTTAAAGGAATTTATAATCTAGATAGGGAAACAAGATATATATAGTTAAATAAATAGAATTTGATTTTACCAAAGGATTGGTAATGAGAGTCATGCTGCATGTGTTACATAAATTAATACATTAGTGCTATTAGCTACTAGTAAAGAATCATTGCTTTACATGTGTACAGTCTGCTTGCACAAAGCTGTATAGACTTACAAAAAGGTCAAAGGCACATTCGGAATGTAGTTATACTAAAAATATACTATACTGAACAACGTGTCTTTTGATGTCCTCCCCATCCCTTGTGATTCTTAGGTCTGCTTCTCCAAAGTATGGGTTCACCATTATGAATAGGCTGAGCATGGAAAATAGGACAGAACCCATTACTAAAGACCTGGATTTCCAGCTCCAGGACCCTTTCCTTCTCTACAGAAATGCCAGATGTGAGTTTTTCTTAATGAATGGGTAGTTTTATTTCGGCAGTTTTTCCAAGTATTTAAAATTGTACAGTGTATGTCATTGGGCTTGTGTTTAGTGTCAGTGATTCTAGAGGTCAGGATTGGTTAGCTTGGGAAATGCATGCCCACTTTCTTCCTTGGGAAAGTTTACATGAAAACAGTATGACTATATGATGTAAGTATTCAAACCCTGTCTTCTGCAATGAGACCACTCTGCAGTGTGAACCCATTGAAGATTCTAAGCTTGATCAGTGCTGGGTGAGGAGTTTTTGGTCAGGAGACTACAGAGAGGCACATAGGTAGTGCTGTAGGACATAGAATGAATGATTCAGCTGGTGGAACTTTTTTATGTGTGAGCCTTCTGATATTATGTTTGGGGGAGAGGACTAATACAGTGGGGCCTTGACTTATGAGTTTAATTCGTTCCGTGACGGAGCTCGTAACTCAAATTACTCGTATGTCAAATCAATTGTGAACGAGTGAGACACGTGATGCTGGGCTGATGTTGTGGCGTTCACTGTGACATTCGCTGTGCCAACTAGTGGTGGGGTATCTGAAGCTGGCTCGTAACCCAAATTTTAGCTCGCAACTCAAAGCAAAAAATCGGCCGAGAGACGGCTCGTATCTCGAAAAACTCGTTAGTCGGGACACTCGTAAGTCAAGGCCCCACTGTATTCTAGAATTGCTATCTTTTGAATATATAGCAAAGTCCAAAGAATTTTAGTCATTAAGAATTTCATAAGACTTTGTAATGTTGAAATCTTAGGTAACTATGTGGTCCTTGTCAGATTTGAAATGAGGTAGAAATTGCCTACCCAATATTCTGCTTATTTTACTCATGTGTCTTATCTGACCACTTGTGTTGGACTATTGGACAGCCCAGAGAAATATTGATGGAAAATATATACACTGCAAGAGCATCTATGTGTGTTTGTGTATGCACATGCTCTGTGCTTGTGGGTAACTTTCAGAAAGACCTTGCAGTTAAATATTTTTCATTCATTTTCCACCCTGCTCTTTGAGCTCAATATATAAGAATTTGCCTACTATATACTATTCAGTGTAATCTTAATAAGAAATGTAATACAAGTGATATTTGATGTTGTAACTCCAATGAATTGTTTTGAAATAAATATCCTTTTACTGCTATATTTACTTGTAATTATATATGTATAATTAAGTTATTATGATAGGTGGTCATCCTATTATTTAGAGAATATGAGTAAATTTTCATGAGAAAAAAATGAAAGCTATTAATGACTTACTAATGATAGGTCCTGTGAGTGAAAAATTTAGTAAAATAGATAAATATTTTATTTTCTATTTCTATTTCTTTGGCTGGAAGGTATAGTTCCATCAGTTGTTAGCTTGTAGTTTGAGTTGTTTGTGTAGTAACATCAGGTTTTATTTTCCTTTTTGAGATTATTGGATTCTATGTCAAATAACATATAATTTAAATCCTAATAAAATATCCATATAAATAAATATAAAATAAATGAATATTAGTGACTTATAGTAATCATTTTGGTAGCTCTTACTTTGTATAAATACTTAGTCTAGTTAGTACAGATACTATTTTAAGTTCTTATTATAATATTACGTATCACATATTATGTACAAAAATATAAGAATCAACCACTCTTTAATGTGGTTGATTTTAAAATTGACTTTCGTAAGTCCCAGAGGATTTATCTGATAGGTAATACTATTTGAATCTAATAAATATATATTAAGCCTCACCTTGTTCCAGGCCAATGCTAATATGGTAGTCTAACTGCATGTGGCTGTTGAATACTTGAAATGTGGCTTAGTCTGAATAGACGGTGCTATGAGTGTAAAATACACATTGATTTTCAAAGACAATACAAAAAATTGTAAAAAAAAATCTCAATTTTATACTGATTTAACTGTTGAAATGATAATACTTTAAATATGTTGAGGTAAATAAAATGTTATTGAAATTGATTTCACCTGCTTTTTTTTTAATTTAAAATTACATATGTGGTTCACATGTGTGGTTCACCTTACATTTCTATGGAATGGCAATGTCCTAATTATTTTTATTTCTTTTACTATATTTTACAATCATAACTTTATAGGGTGGACATTTTCACTTCCATTTTGCAGATTAGCAAACTGAGGTTCAGTGAGGTGACAGACCTGACAGATATTCACAGATTCTAATTTCTCATAACTTTTTCTTAGAAATACTAATGTTTTTGTTTTATAAAAATGAGAAACTGAGGTTAAAGAAATTAAGTAATTTATCATGGCCCGTGACTATTTGAAGATGGAAACAGCATTGAACTGAGAAAGCCTAACTTCAAAAGCCCAGGCCCACCCAGCCAGTGTGGCTCAGTGCTGGAGTATTGACCCATGTACCAGGAGGTTGCTGGTTTTATTCCCAGTCAGGGCACATGCCTGGACTGGGGCGTTGATCCTCAGTAGGGGGTGTATGAAGCAGCCAATCAATGTTTCTCTTTCATTGATGTTTCTATATCTCTCCCTTCTCCATCTCCCTTCCTTTTTCTCTAAAAATCAATAAAAATAAAAAATAAACAAACAAAAAAAGCCCAGGCCCAAGCAGTGAAAAAGTACTAACACATGAATGATGTATTTGAGCAAGGTTTACTTCTCACAAAATACTTAATCTTTTTATTATACACTCCAATGTTGAAAAAGCAAGTTTCTTTTATAAAAAGTTGAGTATCTATTTTATCCCAGTTATTAGAGAGGAGACTATCAAATAAAAACAAATGTAACAAAAAGCTGAATTTGACCATTTCTTTCATATTATTCCCTTTAGTAACCTTTTACTATGTTTTCCATTTCATATCTAAGTAAGATTTTGGTATATGGAGATATATTTTAGAAATGTATTTTCCCAAATATCCTATCTAATAAAAGGCCAATATGCAAATCAACCGAACAGCGGAATGACCGGTCGCTATCATGCACACTGACCACCAGGGGGCAGATGCTCAATGCCGTGAGCTGCTCAGCCAGAAGCTGGGCTCACGGCTGGCGAGTGCAGCGGTGGTGGTGGGAGCTTCTCCTGCCTCTGCAGCTGTCGGACATCTCTCGAGGGTTCCCGGACTGCGAGAGGGCACAGGCTGGGCTGAGGGACACCCTTTTCCCCCACCCCCCAGTGCATGAATTTCATGCACCGGGCCTCTAGTATAATAATATTTAAGATAAGTTACAGACAGCAATGACAGGTAGATTTCAGAGCTAGGCCAACAGCTTGAATATATCATTGTCTATGCTAAGAAGTTCTTTTGAGCCGCTTGATTTCATTGAAGACATAAGCCTGGAGCTTAGAGCAAATTATAAAAGGCAAAAATCAAGATATTTAGGATCAAAGCTGTTTTAGAAAATTCCTCAGCTTTAAAGTGAATTTATTTGGGTAGTTTTGTATTAAAAAAGAAATACAGTTTAAATTCTTTGTTGATATTTGTAGGATCTGGGGAAAGTTGCTAAATAATGGGAAATGGTACACTGAATGAAAGTGAGAGTTACTAACAGTTCTTATCTTTCAAATAAGCCATGGCCTAGAAGTTCCCTTTTAAAGTGATTGGTGGTATTTTAGTTATAGACAGGAGATTGAACATATTCCTGAAACTATAGAAATGACAGTAAATGGGAAAAAAGATATAAACCCACAAGGGTGTTGGATGCATTTCATGAAAAAGATTGAGTAAACAAGACAGAAGAAGACATGCTATGATAGCTTTATTGTTCATAATTATTAACTTGTCTCCTTGCAGAAGATCATATCTCTGTTCTGTTGGTGTCAGACTTGATTATATGCTTTCGTTCCCCCCCAACTCCTCCACCCACACTGACCCCTCCAGAAGGATATTATGTGGTCACCTGTTGAACTCAAATATGAATAAATTGCTTTGACCAATGAATTGTGGGTAAGAGTGATGTATGTCACTTATGAGCACATACTTTAAGAACTAGCTCATGATTCATCATGTCTCTTTTCCTTCTGCTATTATGACTAACAGTATTCTAGGCAGAGGCTGCTCTGTCAGCCTGGAATGAAAATAGCATGGTACAGAGGTAAAAGCAATCCATGATCAACATGTAATATGTATGAGAAATAAACCTTTGTCATTGTAAGCCATTGAGATTGTGGGGTTGTTTGTTACTGCAGCATAACTTGGGCTACTGTGACTGATGCACAAGCCATCGAAGAAAAAAGGGATCCAAACACAGAATGGAGGTAAAGGAATTCTGAGAACTATGATAAGAGGAATCCCATAATGACTCCTATGCGATTAAACTAAAGATCATTCAGCCTAAAAGTAAAAGGATAGAAGGCTTCAGGATGGGTGTCCAAGGAAAAATTTATAACTGATAGTATGAATCTATTGAAACATTTACAGTTCCTTTTAAAGAAAGTTTGATGATAGAGGAACATTGAAAACTGAGGGGGTGGGAGGAACAGTAACAAAATGAAGCAATTCTTAATTCCTGGGAAAACAAAATATTGTATAAAAAAGGAAATATAATCATAGTATACCATATGGCTCTGCAGATCATAATACTTAATTAAATTATAAGCACCGAATGTGAAATTGTATTATACTAGAAGGATGTGTGTTTGTGAGAGTGTGTATATTGTCAGAGAACTAAATCCTCAATAGTTTTTAAAAATCAAGAAGAAGTATATGCATGCTATATAGTAAAAGAGATTTAAATGTCAGAAGAAAAGTTGGATGAGAAATAAATGGAGAGCAGAAACAACTGTTATGGGTAGAATTAAGATTGTTTTGGAGGAACAGTAATTATGAATGTAATGGCTAGAGAAGAGTTCTCTGTTTTTGTAAACTGTATAGTTTTTGACTTTTAAAATTATGTATGTGTATTATTTTGATAACGATAAAAATTAAAAATATAATTGGATATCAATGCATTCATAAAAGCAATGTTTTAATTGGTGGTTAGATTTTTAAGTCAACTCATAAGAGCCTTTC